GCTTGCGTTCGCGCTCCCCGGCCGGAGACTTCTACTTGGCCAGAGCCAAGTGTCCAAGCGCCACATGTAAGGTATAAAGGATGGAAAATGCTGAGAAAGGCTGGGTTTGGTCACTTGACTATGGTCACAACCACAGTCCTGGCTTAAGTATTGCAGGTAAAAACGGATGTAAATCTCCTTCTGCAGGTGTGACTTTAGAATCAAAAGAAAAAAATCCGTTTTCCTTTAAGTAATTAAATCCCCTTTGCTCACTTCACCCAACCTAATTCATTGAACAGACCACTGATTGATATTTATCTGGACTAACCTGTTTAGGAAAGAGAGAATAAATAATGGCACAGGTGAGGATGAGCTGAGACATCTTTCATCTTTTTTAATTGAGGCAGGATCTGATGTTACCACTCTTCTGTTCTGCTCTTCAGCAGATGTTTATCTGCTGGATTTTCAACAAACTCCGTGGCCTTCCAGGATATGCACTTCTACTGTGTTATTATTTTTGCAATTTGTAATTCTTGTATCTCACCTAAAACTCTGTTATATGACGCGTCAACATTGTCTTGGGGAATCTAGGGAAGACTTGTTTCTTGTTGTTATGCAGATACTTTTAATTTAAAGGCTGTCACTTTTTTTTGTTTTCTGTTTCTTCAGCTTTTCTTTATGGTGGCATGTGTTATGTCTGTTATACTTAATTGATGATATTTTCTCCCCCACTTCAGTGTTTTTAATACATGGTAATTGGGGTCTCACCAGTGCCAGCTAGTGTCAAATCTGTGTCTGGACTGGCTGTCTTGTCAAATACCCAGAATAGCATTTATCTAGTCATAAAATTAACACACATAACCCAGGCAAGGATTTATAAGCTTTCATAGAAGTTAAAAGTTCCTGCTTTCACTCAGGAGCAGCAAACGGGAGCCACAGTCCCTGATCAATCCCTTCCCTCAGTACAACCCTCTGGCTCCCTTTTCCCTCAGTGTGTGTGCTCTGTGTCTCCTCAGCTGCAGCATCCCAGTGCTGAGGTGAGGGAGTATGCCTGTGCCAGCATTTCGCAGCTGCTGCAGCAGGAGCAGGTGATCCCCGCCTTCGTGCAGCGGGACGTGGTGCGCTGCCTGGGGCCGCTGCTCATGGACCCCAGCCTGGCTGTGCGCGAAACGGCTGCGGGCGCTCTCAGGTGAGCACTCACTGCTCAGTCAGGGATCCTGGCATGGGGGAAAGCTGTGGGCTGCAGTGCCAGCCTCTCTTGCTTTAATTCTGCTCTGAGGAACCGTGCCTACATGAGCTGAGGTCTGTGAGAGAGGGGCTTTTCTTGCTCTGTGAGACTTCAATGGCAGGAGCAGGCTTTATGAAATGTATGGCTTTATGAGGAAATAGAGACTCGAGTGCAGTTTGGATGGCATTTTGTATCATGATGTTTTAGTACAGATAAGCTTTTTAATTCATGAATTGTGATGGTGTTCACAGGAGTCTTAGGATGAGGGATGAGACGAGGACCTGACTCCATGTTTCAGAAGGCTGATTTATTATTTTATGATATATATTATATTAAAACTATACTAAAAGAATAGAAGAAAGAATTTCATCAGAAGGCCAGCTAAGAATAGAAAAAGAAGGAATGACTAACAAAGGCTTGTCTGAGCCATCTGACTGTGATTGGCCATTAATTAGCAACAACCACATGAGACCAATCACAGATGCACCTGTTGCATTCCACAGCAGCAGATAATCATTGTTTGCATTTTGTTCCTGAGGCCTCTCAGATTCTCAGGAGAAAAAAATCCTAAGGAAAGGATTTTTCAGAAAATATGTTTGTGACAATGAATAAATGGACATAATGTTTTGTTTTTAACTCCAAAGCTATTCTCTTGTGTTAGTGAGGAAGAAGACTAAAGCTACTGTTTAAGCAAATTGAGTTTAAAACAAAAGGTACCATGTAGGGGGATAGAATATAAGAAAATAAAGATAGTGCAGAAAGTAATCTTACCCCTAAGGAGTTGCAGCTGGGCCAATTAGCAAAGATTAGGAGCAGGCCTGACTTTAACAGGCCACAGCTGTGGCCAATGAGAAGAAGAGTGCTATAAAAGAGTGGGGTGGCTCGTTGAGAAGGGAGCTGGAGTCAGTTGGCTGCTTTGTGAAGAGGAACGAGTCAGTGCTCTGGGGAGATGCCCGTGAGAGGCACAAAGAAGGTGTGAAAGTTATGTGATAAGGAGACAATAGTATGGAACCCCTGTGATAAGGTGACAGCATACCATAACTTTTAGAGAAGAATATCAAAGGTATGGGGTTTTTGAAGCATTCTTGGAAAGTATTGTATCTCATCCAAAGCATTGCTTTTTTTTGTTTTCCCTAGAAATCTGAGTGCTTGTGGAGGATTTGATGTCTGTGATGACATGGTGACAGATGACATCATGACACCCCTGGTTGCACTTCTGAAAGAGGTGTGCTTATTTTTATTTTATTTTAAACCTGGTCTAGCCGCTGAATTGTCCCGTGTGCAAACACAGTTCTATTTCCATAGCTGTCATACAATAAGGTACTTGAAAGATCTTTTGAAAGAATGTTTTGATAGGTTTAGTGATACGAAAGTTATTCCAGAGATTTCTAACCCCTGCCTTCTGGCTCCTGGCCAGCTAACCTGTGTCCATAGTGAGAGTTGCTGCCTAGGGTGATTTTTGAGTGAAAGGTCTGGAGATTTGGGTCTGTAATGTCAGTTAAGACAAGTTTATTCTGTCAGTGAGAATCAAGGTCCTTCATTTATGTTGCAGCATTATTCCAGTGATGTTATTTTGCTGAGCATTTTGTCTCAATGGATGTAGAGCTGGGTAGTTAGTGGAGAATAACATGTACTGAATTTGTATTCTTTGTTTGGTCCAGGTGTTGCACTGCAGTTTGGATATTGCATTGATTTCTCTTACCTGCTGTCTTTGTATGAGCAACCTTGAGCAATGTCATCATTTTCTGTATGTTTCTTCCTCTTTTTGAAATATGAGTAATAGCATTACTATAGAGCATAGTAAGGTATCAACTGAGTTAATCTTTGTGGAGAAATAACTGTTGATAGCTCCATACAGACTAATAGCAAGAAACAGTACTTCAGGTTGTAAAATTCCCAAGTGTTTTTTTTTTTATTTTTTTTATAGAAAGTGCTTCTAAGGACTAACTGCAAAGCAAGTACTGTAAGAGTCTTTCTACAAGAGAAAAGCTATCAATGATTCAAGTTTTCATAAAGAAAGGAAGCTAGTCAGGTGTTGTAATACATGTAAGCTAGTCAGGTAATAAACACTGCATGAGAGGATCTCTCCACTCAGTGCTGATAACACTTTAAAGTTTTGCCTCTCTTTGTGGCTGATTATTTCCCAACCCTGCTTCTTTTGTTTGGTTGTAGTGCAGCACTGGACTGGATGCTAACCAGCTCTCTCCAAAGAAATGCAGAGGGTCGAACAAAAATTATATTGAAGACATAGCCAATGAGGCCATTAATTTGCTGTGGAATATATGGTAAGTACTGTGTAAACACTGGCATTTTAGCCAAATTAAATTGTTCCTGAAAAGGAGTGTGGTAATTGAAGCAGAAAAGGAATGGTTGTCCTGGCATGGGAAGATGCATTCATTTGCTGATTCTGTTTCTCCTACCTTGCTTTAATAATGATGAGCCCTCATCCCATCTGAAATAGAAGTTCATCTTCCAGTATAGATTACTTTTTTTAAGTGAAGAATTCCAGGAATTGGTAATTAGTTTTAGATGAGTAACAAATTCTTTTTCTACTGGCTCTTCATCCTGACTTCTGATCCTGTTTTCTGAACATGTTCTGTCCTAGTCTGTTTGGATTGTGGCTTCTTGCAGGTATTTCCTGTAGATCTGTATCACGATACAAGAAACAGAGAAAATGAAATTCTAATCAGTGGGTCAGTGCTCTAGGAATATGAGGAGTTTTTATACTACTTCCTTCCTCTGCAGGTCATCCCCAAAAATTAATATTAACTGTTTGGGGCAACTATCCCTTAGTTACTGAGACACCGATAAAAATGTACTTATTATGTGAGAAAATGTAAATTGTTCTATTAGTAGTTTACATTGGAAACACCAGGTGAAGGAAGAGAAATGGCAATACTATACAGAAATTACTGTAAACATTGAAGTGATACAAATCTGTTCCAAAAGTTCTCCTTGAACTTTGTGTTGTTTCTCTTTATTTTTTTCTCACATTGTATACTTTGCATAGAGGATTTTGTTTAGTGCTGTACAGTGCCACAGTGGAACTGCCTCTGTGCCTGTTTGTGTGATGTGGCTGCTGGCTTGAGGCCTTATTTATAAACTGGGATATTTATTTTTTTAGGGATTGGAATCTAGAACAGTAGATAAACTCCTTGTTCAGCATCTTGCACAGAATACATGACCCTTTGTATCTGACTCAGCAATGTTGTGTGTTCGTATTTATTTTTGCTTTTTAGTCAGTGCTTGAGAACAGGAAGTATGATTATTAAGTGTGATGTAAATCACTTCTGTATTTTGAACTTTGTGGTAATGAATGTGAACTGCTTGTTTCGTTGCTAAGTTTGATTCTGATAAAATTAGGGCTGGCATAGATGCTGAGACATAATATTTTCAAAATTAAAATTTTGAAGATCCTTGTAGCTAGTTAGCTCCTGTGCTTTTTTTAGTTTGAATTACTCTTATATCAACATAGAAGTTTAAAAGAGAGTAGCTGTGAGTACTTGAAGAAGCACAAATGCCACTGTTAGGTAATGAAAGTAACTGCATTTCTGAACGGTGAGAGGAGTGAGTGGGTACCACTTGAGAGGCAGCAGCTGCTCTGCTGGCACTGGGTTTGTGGGTGAAGTCTCCTGTGGCTGCAGGAGGCCCTGGGCTGGCTGGCAGCCCACAGCTCTGAGCTGCCTTGCTCACTCCAGCAGGAGCTGTAGTTGGGCTCCCAGATAAACTCCAAACACTGTGTGAGGAAGCAGCTGGCACAAGCCAGCCTTCCTCAAAAGTGCCCAGGATTTTGCAGCTTCTCTTTCAGCATGAAGGATAGCTCTTTGACTAATGCATAATTCTCAGGTAACTTTTAAAAACGTGACTAATAACAAGTATGGGGTGCTTAAGATGTTGCTACAGTACTTTTTTTTCCTAGAAAAATCTTTGACTGATCTTTTCCATACATTAGTGAATGCAACAATACTGCCCTATACATATTCAATAAAGAAGGATGTCTGGAGGCTGTCTTACATTACATGAAGAAATTTGCCACGAATGTGGATCTGGCTATTTCAGTAGGTAAGTGGTAAAAAGAGAAGATAAGGCTTTAAAGATACCTTTTTATAAAATTGTATGAATGTACCACTGATATTACATTCAATGCATAATGGACCTGCTTTAGCATTGCTGAAGTTTGCAGTGAGTGTAAGACTGTACATTCAATTTTCAATAGCACATAAAAAGAAGTTGACGTCTGGTGTGCTTATTTTCAGTCCAAAAGAGAATGGCTTATTGGTGGTTACATGGGAAGGAAAATTTTGTGGGAAGAGGGCTTTAAAGGCAGGCTGTGTTTTTCATTTTATTTTCATGTTTTGGTAATGGAGGGTTTAATTTGTTGAGCAGAGGAAATAGTCCTTCTAAAAAACCCCAAACAATTCCAATCACTTTCAGTCTGGTTTTATCAGTATTATTGTTATTACAGTTTCATAATGGTCATACAGGTATGTGTGCTTCCAACATCTTTTTATGTTGTCCATTGTCAGTATATAATGGATAAATTTAATTTTGAGTAGCTGAAATTAATATAACCAATTCTATGGCTGATGTGGTATCATCCTCACCTGTTTTATGTATGGGTTTGCCACAGAATGTATTTTAATCCAAAATACAGCTTGTGAAGCACAGTGTCAGGCCATTACAACATGATGCTGCATGAATTTTTTTTCCTGTGTCAGCATTTCATTACTCCAGCTTTCAGGAGGATAATGCTTTCTCATTAGCAGAGCAAAAGCTACGACTGGGTTTGTTAATTATGTTTGCTCTTGTTGTTTGCTGCAGCAAACTGCTTGCAGGCAGTGACAGAAGATAATCCAGATCTTCTTTCTTCATTTAATGCTTCTGCACAGCAAATACTGGAAGCAGTGATGTTGAGTCCAGGGAGCACCATGAAGCACATCCTTCTGAGAACACTGATAGCAGGTACAGTGCTCAGGGGGGAGCATTGCTTTGAGGTGGGGAGGCTGGGAAGGACAGAAGGCTCAGTCTTCTCTGCACGTGTCATTGTCAAGGTGTACAGATGGCTTGTGAAGTTATTTCTGCCTTTTGGAACTCCAAGGAGGTATTTGCAACTAGTTTTAAAACTGGCTTAAATGCTTGATTCTGAATTCAGTCCCTGCTCAATGTGATTGCCTACTTTAACTGCTCATTTAGTTTTTACTTTAAACTGCTCATTTTAGTTAAGTGAGTCAATAATAAGTGGTACAGGGGTTGTTTTGATCTTACTAGCTGTAAATTTTTTTTTTACCTCAAATTCTCTACCTTGAATTCTTCTTGTTACCTCAAATGGTAACCAGGGTGATTTTTGATACTGGAGTGTAATAAATTAATTTTGAGACTCCTTAGAACATGATTCTTGCATGTGGATTTGTTATCTCGGGTACAGAGTGACACTGAGGTCACTCCACATAAATATTCTGTAAATTTTTACATGCTGAAATTTACTTGAGCTTAAGATGTGGGCATAACAATTATTGCAGATAAGTATATTAATTGTTGTACAAAAAAAAAAAAAGAAATCTGTAGAGAAAAGACTTAAATATTTATAGTGAATATAAGCACTGAGTGTTTTAAGTAGTGGAGGCTATCTCCTTACAAAATGGCTATTGCAGAGCTGGGAATTGAGCACTTTATTAATTTATATGATTTGGTTACCTCATATTTAGGCACTATCTGGAATATAAAGGATACCATTCCACCAGGCAGCCTGGGAAGCACAGTTAATGCAATCCTGAAGATATTTTCAGAATCATTGGCAATAGATGCTGGTGAAACAATTATTCGTATGAATGAAGCTGAGAAAAACAGGTTAAAACTTGCTGTGGAACCAGAAACTGAAGAAAACATGAGTGATACTATAGAAAACTGTGTTTTGAGTGAAGATGATAACATGGAAGAAGTACCAAAAGGAAAACTCAGAAGAGAAAATGATGTTTCAGATTTACTTCCAGTAAGTGTGGCTGGCTGGCTTTTGGACAGCTTTAGTGCAAGTGGCATTCCTTGAGAATTAAATTTGCTCTGGAACATCCAACAGAAAGATGGTAGATAACACTGCTGGGGTTTGTGTTTTGGGGGTTTTTTCAAGTTTGGGTGTAGACTGAGAAGAGGAGATGGCTGGGACTGTATTTTTAACTGACAGCGTGGATACTTTAAATGGCACTTAAAAGTTGTTTTCCAAAATCAAATTTGGTTCATGTTTTTAATTTTTTAGTCTGATAAGTGGGAACTGAAAGAAGTGACAGCTTTACTGACGGCTCAGCAGACTGCTCTGGAGATCATTGTTAATATGTGCTGCAGTGAAGGTTTGTAGGAGTCTCGTTCATTGCAACTGTTGTGGTGTGTTTTGTTTCTGAGTAGGTCACCTTTAGATTGCTGTTTGCTCGTCTGGGTTTTCAAGGGCAAATGCCCCTGGGCATATTGTCCCTGATATCCTTATCTGGTGGCAAAGTAGGTTTTAATTTCTGTTACTAATTTTTTGGTTTTTCTTCATTTAAGTGATTTAAGTTAATTTTTTTTTGTGTGATCCTGCGCATGCAAACATTTAAGAGCAAACAGAAAAACACTCATGCCAGACAGATACTTCCTGAAGTGTTGCAGCAAAATCTTTGTTCAGTTAGAGTAAGGTCTGATGTAAGATATGTGTGAAATCTGATTGCAGGATGGGGGCATCAAATTTTTTAAAGCAGATAAGTCTTACAGCTTTGATTTAGTTTTGATACTACAAGTGTTGCAAAATTAGGAGTAGGGACAGCTTTTCCATGCAACTCTGGCAACAATGTAGATCTTGGCTTCCAGAGTCCTGCCTTGATGAGCCTGAGGAGGAGGAGAAAGAGAGGCTGTGATTTGGAGGGGAGTAGGATATTGATATTCTGTATCTTTTATGAACTCTGAAACTCTGTTTTGATAGCTTTTCTTCTAATCTTCAGGAAAACAAATGAGAGATTATCAAATTCTATTTCATAAAGCCAACAAACAAGCAAAACTAATCCCCTAAACCCTCCAAAACCTGGAAACTTTGACTGCTATTGTAGTTTGAGCCTGATGCAGGAGTAATTGTGTAGAAAGTAACAGAATAAAATGTTCAGGTTCTTATAAAATCCACAGTAGTACTCAGTTATTCCCAATGGTAACTATTTTTTTCTCTTACAGCACAAGGAAATTCTGCACCTAGTGTATGAAGCTCCTTTCATAACTGCATTTCTCATCTAATGAGCTGTAATTCATAAGCTTTCCCCTTTAATTGGAAAATCTCTTGTGGATAAGCTGCATATTCTGCCATTCACTCAGTGTAATGTAAGATTGATTGTGTTGTATTTTGCTGCAGTACTTTACCCATTCGTGGGCAGACAGTCTCTAGAAATTAGGATGAATCCAGAGGCAGCTGTGCATTTAATTTTCAAATTATTTGAGGACTAAAATAGCTGTAGCCATTGTGCTGAGTTCATTAAAACACTCAGCTTGCACCAGAACTGAGAGAAGTAACCAGGCTGGTGAGGGATGTGTTGTCCTGAGCACTGGGCAGTGCTTGGAGGGAGCAGAGAGCTCCCCTTTGATGGGCACCTGGGCAAGGAGCCAGGAGGCTCCTGCACTGCTGTCCAGTCTGTAGTTGTGAGTCTCCATGCTAGCTAAGATGGGATTGCTGCTGGAAGTGCCTCTGTGTTTCCCAGAACATTAGAATAAATGTGGCCATAATTATGGGCCAGAGTTCTAGATCCCAATTCCTGCTCTGCCCTGGTCACTTGCTGTCAACTTATGACAGCTGCTGTCTTTGTTATTGCTAATTACATTGTCAGCTTGTATTGTTAACAATTAGTTTTCAAGGGATGTGTTTTGCTTTCTTTGTTTTTTAAAGGTGCAAAAGGGATTTTTTTAGAAGAGGCAAGAGACTGAAAGCAGGATATCTTGCTTTGTTTTCATGTTTTAGGCTATTAACACCAGCAAGTTGTGGCTGTAGAATTAATTGGATATTACCATAAGATGCCTGTGTGGTCAAGTTGCTACACCTTGACATCTTTACATCTCATAAACAATAACCATCACCTTCAAATAAATTCTTTAATTTGCACACTACAAGTGAAATGCATTAATTTGGATCTTTCTTGCTGTATTTTTAGTGAATTTACCTTTTGCCACAGAAGTGCATGTCTGTTTCTGTAGTTGCTGCAGGACCTACATCTCATAAGAATCTGTGTTGTCAAACAGAATTACTCAGGAGTCAATATGATGGTGTAGTTTTTTTTGTCACAATAGTTAAATATCCTGACCTATGTACACAGGGCTTTCATCTGTTGGAAAGGAGGATCAGTCCAAGCTGTAGACTTAGGACTTGGGTAAACACTAGTTAAAATGTAACCAGATTTAAAGAAACTTCAACTAAATGTGAACTCTGTGGATGTAGACAGACGAGTTCAAATATAAATGAGGGTGATTTTAGTTTGTGCTTATCAGCCAAAGTCCCCCTTCAGCTGTGGACAGATTATTCACACAGCAGCCTGTTGGTAATAGAGCTTCAACTCCTCTCACCATACCTGCCCTTAAAGATCTGCTGGTAGAATAAGTCATGTAAGTAGCCTTGTTCAGGTTTAAGATTATAAACCTAGTTTAATTTATGTGAAATGTGTTGCTTGAAATAACTATCAGAGATTATTTGGCTTTCTTTGCTATCATCATTTTGTTTCAACTGACCTTTCTGTGGAGACAGTAACATATTCATTGAGCCCTGTTACTGCCCAGGCAGAGGACATCTGTGGCTTCAGTATTGCTAGAGGACACAATTGCCTTCAACTGACTGCAATTAGTAAACAAGTTAAGTTAAACTGGTGTATTTGCATGCTTGAATTAACCTCAGAAAATGAAGTGGTACAATCCAGGTTAAAATCTTAATTAAATGTTTCTTCTATGCCTTTTTTGATATTTTTAAACAACACATTGTTAATATCAGTGATTAACACGCTCACATGTGAAGAACCTCTCTCATAAGAATATTTGTGTCTCAGTGAGTGTAAAATATTTTTAATAAGATATTTAGAACTGTTGCTTAATGGCACTTGGTTTGTAAGGAGGTTGTTAGAGTCCAAGAACTTAAAGATTCCTAAACCAAGGAGGAGCCAGTTACAGTTGGGAAATGAGATCCCTGTTGCATGAGGGCTGTTACATTTACAGATCTGTTTTGTGTTCTCAGATCCCTCTGATGATGAGTGGGAAGAACTCTCCAGCAGTGATGAGAGTGACTTGTTCATGGAAAGCTCATACAATGAGGGGAGTGGGCTGCTGCTGTCACCCCTGTGCCTCTCTGCTGAAGTGAACTCAGCATTTCTGAACAACCTCATTCCAAAGAAGGTATTGTCCTCTGTATTATTTCCAGCACATGTTACAGTCTTTCCCTTGTTCCTGCTTTGTATCCCAGGTTAGGCAAACAAATTACTCCAATCCACCTGGAGAAGGGAGTATTTTTTTAAGTGAGTTTTGCCTCACTTTTTTGGCCTAGAGATGGTGCATCATTACATGACCTAAATAATTTGCTCATGTAAGTGAGAATAGAAGGGTCATGTGTTTCAGAAATCTGGTAGGTCTTTTTAAAAATTTTTCCTCCTCCAAAATACAAAGATTTTTATTCCTTGATTTGGACATGAAAAAGATTACCCACAGAAAGAAAGGAAACTTGGCTGAAGCGTGACAGCCAGATTTCTGTATTAGCTAAATGAGGCGGAAGTAACATTAATGAATGGCAGCAGTCAGCACTGAAAAAGTGCAAGTTCCTCTCCCCCTGTTTTATACAAAGTGTCTGAAATACAGTACTTGGCACTGACAGGAAATCAGATGTTTTTGTTTCAGAGTTGTTTTGCTCATTTTTATTTGGGGTTGTAAAGGTGAAGTTTGTTATTTGAATCAGTTACTGTGTTAGCTCAGCAGCATTGTAGAATTCTGAGCTAAGACATCAAGGTGTGAGATGAAAACTTTGAAGGCTTTTTGTACTTAATAGCCAGAGTTTCATGGCAAGGCCTTCCAGACTTGCAGCTATCTGAAAATCCTCTAGCAGAATCTATAAGAAGAAAGAGCTAAAGAAGAAAGAATAGCAGGGACCTAGAAAATCACCTGTTGTTGGTACAGTTCAACACTTTAAATACTCTATGCTAAACCCAGTGCATAATTGTAACGTTTAAGTGATAGAGGAAAACTCTGGCATTTTAGCAGCAAGATAGTTGCTATCTGGAAAACTTTGAAATATGTAGTTTGAAGTATCTGTTTGACATTAAGCTAAAATTGCAGTCTTCCCTCTGAACACACTATTAAAAAAAAAAAAAGAAAAGGAAAAAAGGGCTTTATTGCTAAACCTATCTTTTTCCCCTCCTCAGATTCTTGAAAAAACTGCTTTTCCGAACAGTGTTGCTGTAGACATCTGTATGCACAATCCATCTTGGAAACCATTAATTAAAAAGTAGGCATTTCATTGTCTCTCTTACTCTTTTTCATGTATATTCAGTTGTTTTAGAACTCTTAGAAGAATTGTCCATCTTTGGGCTGCTCTTGAGATCTGGAAACTGGTAGATCTGATAGATGATTTTGAATAAAGAGATAAAAATGTTTTTGTGAACTTCATACTCCATCACAGCCTTATTAAATTCAAGATTCCTCTTTATATTTCAACAGGTGTGTTCAAAAATACCTGCTCAGTGTGTTTTTTGTTTGTTTCAGACTGAATGCAGTGCAGTGTAGAGCTTTAACATGTCTTCAGAGCATTTTGTTGGTGTCAGATGTGGATTGTCTTGGGGGAGCTTCAGCGCTTCAGTCCCTTGCACAGCATCTCTCACAGCTGATCTTTTCTAAAACAGGTAAGATGTTTGGTAAAGGGGAATTGCTGACCCCCCTTGCTGATCATCTCTGGTCCTTCAAGATAAGGATACTGAATGTTGGCAATGTACTGAAGGACAGTGTATCCTGTTAAGATGTGTTTATCCAAACTGCACCTTGAGCAAGTATGCTTGTAGTGCAAGAACCTGCTTCATGTTTGGGTCTGCACAGAAAGTCTCTGAGTGGATTAACACTGCCTTGTTGACCAGAACTGTTGCTGGATCATATTTGTGGTAAAAACAGTTTTTCAGCCATTCATACAAGCATGAAGAAGGTGGGACATTTTCTTTTTAAATGCCCTAAGTAGCCTAAGGAGATGTGAAAACAATACATGTCTAGCACAGTCTTTCACATCATTTTTTCCTAGTAATCTTAACAAATTATGGCAAAAGCAATTGATGCAAAAATCTCAAGAATGTCCATGCTTATTACAGCAGAAAAGAGAGCAGCCACCTTGTCCCCAGGACATGCTTTATGCTTATGATGGCTTAGCTTTATTGGAATTATATTTGTAGTAAGAAAGTGTGCAAAGATACACTGTGATACTTCCTGATGAACACTAGAATGTCTTCACTGTGGTTCCTCCAGGGTGTATTATTTCATAGACATGCAGTGGAGGTCTCCCCACACACCTGCTGGTACAGTGTTACTGGGTCATGTCTACAGCAGACAGCATTTCCAGCTGCTTTCTGGGAGCATGTACATGAGAGCAGCATCATTTCCATAATTATTTCCATAATCCTGTTAGATCATTTATGCTATGATCTCTCTATTACTGACATGAGAGAAGCTGAACCAAGATTGGGGGGAAAAAAAAGGTTTAAGAAAAGCCCACCTGTTTCCAAACTGAGGATGTGGGTCCCTGACAGGCTGTGTTCTTCAGACTATTCTGATAATCTTTGTTTGAAGGTCAGTGGTGATGGGTTTCCAAAAAAGAAGAGAGATTCTTAGAGCCTGGAAAAGCTGCCAATTCTCCAGACTGTCAGAAAACATTTTCCCTAAGACAGTTCTGTTGAAGTCTGGCATATGTGTGGCTTTGTCATCTCTCATCTTTTAGAAGCTCAAGAAATTTGGTTTCCTTCCCTCCCTTCAAATGTCTTTGTAGCTGTAGATTATGGAGTGCTCTGCTGGGATGTATAAAATGACACTGCATTAGTGCTTGAAAATACATCTGCCTGCAAAACACACTTTTTTCTCAATGTCTTTAAAGACATGTGATAGTCTATGGGAACATTATTACTGAGTGCAGTGTGTGGAACACTAAAATGCAGAAATGAAAATATCTATGAAAACATATCTAAGGAAGTTCACATAAAATGTCTCATGCTTGAAGAGAGGACTTCCAAATTTTGGGTCTATATGTTATGCTTTGTTATAGAAAGCTCTCAGATGAAGCAGGAGAAGTTGCTATCTGAAGACAGCTAAGGATGCTAAAATTAATTAATTGGCATAGGCCCATTTTTTCATGTTTAAATGCTGTGTAATGAAAACTGCCAGATAGAGCTGATAACATACCAACATGTGGTTAGAAGGAGTTCTGTGGTTTACAGAGTGAAAGAGAGGCATAAAGATCTGATTGTTTACATGAGAAGGGAGGAGTGCACATAAATCAAGAAGTTCTGCATCTGGAGTGGTCCAGAAAATAAACCCATTAGAGGAAAATGAAAAGCCTCAAGAAATGCAGAACACAGATTGGAGGTGATGGCTGCTACTGATGAGTTTGTAGTTAAACAAGAATAATGCAGTGTTTGAGTCATACATTCCTGGAATGTTATTAAACCACCGGAAAACATGCTCTTTATATGAATTGGAAAGAGTCCAGCGCTCTCTCTGGGTGTCTGAAAAGCTTGCTTAAGAAGGCAGAAGAAAGGAGGTGAAGTATGCAGTCAGCTCCTGCAGTTTCCTCAGTTCCTGTATGTTCCTCCATGTGATACCAGTTTTCAGCTGCTGTTCTGGTGACAGTGGCTGGCACTGTCCCTTAGGTGACACAGTGTCTCAGCCAGGGATGTGCCTGGAAAGGAGGCCCAGCTGTGTTCCAGCCTCAATGCTGAATTCAAACAAATCACTATGGTTACAACCTACAGAGACCAGTCTCTGAAAATCTAGCTTTTCCTGTTGTGGTAGTACCTGGAGGAACAATTAGGGATTAAGGAATTTGTATTTCTTTGCCTCCTGTGTCCCTCATATTACTGTTTAACTTCTGCTCTGGGTTCTGTTCTTTGACAGAACTCCCTACAGACACAGAATTCCTGGAAGCTGTAACCAGTGCTTTGAGGGCTCTCCTACAAACAATGGCATCAAAGAACATCTCCCAGGTAAAAGCTTTCAAACTCAAATGCTCTGGTAGGTTCAAATTCCTGTGAGATTAGACTGGAAAGTTTTTGAAACAAAACAATATAATTTTACTTCAAAATTTCAGCAGTTGTGAACACTGGAACAACAGATTAGTGGCATTAACTGTGTTTTTCATGGACCTTCTGGGAATATTTTTTTATATATCTCCTCCTCAATGTGTAAAAAGATAAAAGATATTTCAAAACCAGAATAGCAACAAGCCACAGATATCTTTAGAAGATAGTTATAATGACAAATATTCAGAAATTTAGCACCTAGAAATGTGGCTTCTTTATTTCCTGATGTCACCTATCTGGTGGTCCTTGAATCTCGGTTGGATATGAATTAGTGAATTGAATACAGGAATGAAGCATAATGATTTATTATACAAGACACAGTACTAGATAGTCTGCTAGTCCTTTCTGGCCTTAAACTGAAAACTGAGCTTTTGTGCTGTAAGTTGTAATGAGCTGGAAGCAGTTACTGAGCTAGGTACATTTGTGAGAATCTCAGAACTTTTCCTTCAACATCATCTCAGCCTTGGATATATTCTGGAGGAACCAAGCTGATAGGGAATTGAAATTTCTTGGTAATTGCATATTCAGAATTCTTCAAGTTTTCATAATCTAGGACTCTGTGAAGAATTTGCCTGTGTTCTGTAAAAGTTCAATGTCTAAATGTCATATTTCAAAATTTCCATGAAAATGTAACTGTGTGTATCTTCCTTCTTTACCTCCTTTCCCCTGCTGACCAGTGCATGACTCCTGAGCAGCTGTTGGCTTTGTGTGAGGCTGGTATTCAAAGCAGCAATGCCAGCGTTAGAGTGAACGTGGTGAGCATCCTTGGAATTTCTGGCAGTGTCCTGGCAAAAGGACAAGATACAGCTGAAACCCTGAAGGTGAAAAAGCAAACTTTGCATTGCAGGCTTAAAAGAATTTTGATGTTTCTTTCCATTTTCTTTAGCATTGCTGGAAAAATCAATTCTTCTTTCTTATTACAGATGATTGGAAAATTTCTTCTTGAGGTTGCTATGAAGGAATCTTCTCTTGTGGTAGCAGGGGAAGCCTTGGATGCACTTTTTGATGTATTTGCAGATGGTGAAGAAGCAGAAAAGGCAGCGTTACAGATCAAGTTGCTTTCAACACTGAAGGAATTTCAACCAGTGTTCAGAATGAGGGTAGGCATCAAGGCAGCCTGCTCAGGGTCTCAGCACACAATGTGTGTTAAAGGTTGAATTTTGGGCTCCTAGAAGATATAATTGATTTATAAGATGACAGAAAAAAAGTGTTTAATTTTCTGATACTCGACTTTAGACAAAAGCAAATACCTTAAAATTCATGGATGTGTCAACGTAACAGTGCAGCACCTGCATTGCAACATCTGAATTACACCATCAGTATTACTGATGTCCAAATCACTGTATTGTTCTGAAACAGTTGTACAAAAATCCTGCAGATGTCTCTGAAGGTGGAAGAAAAGTCCTTTCTGAAGTTACGTTGACATCTTTGGTTTTTAACTTGCAGTAGCAGTTGGATGTTTTTGTTCCATTCTTGGTTAAGTAAAACAGTTAATTTATCCTGTATTTTCAAGAATAACAAGGCTGACATTCTAAACTATGATTTTAGATACATCTTAGACTTAAACAGAGACTGACCTTCCACACATTGTTTCTTTGGTCAGATGCAGCCTGAGGAGTGACTTCCATAGTCCAAAAGCTAAGCACTGTACACACAAAGTACATACCTGATGGTGCTTCAGGTGTTGGGTTAAATGTGCAAGCTTTTCCGTATGAAAAGCCTCAGAAAAGAAGTGTATGTCTCAGATTTTTGGATGAAACAATGTGCCATTAGTCTAGTTTTAGACAGCAGTGCATTATACTAGATTGACTTGCAGAAATAATTGCTGTGCTCCACATGTGCACACAGGAACACCTTGGAGTTCTCACAGAATGCCTGTGCACAGAATTACAGTAAACCTGAGGTGATCTGATGGGAGAAACTCCTCCATCAGTAAACCATGTGTTCTTTTGATTTTACAGATACGAAAAGAAGGCAAAGGACAATATAGTACTGATCAGCTGTGTGTTCTTGACAATGTGAAGATGAATTTGAGAAGATTCATTGCATATCAGGAGACACTAGGGAAAACCCCAACTTGAAACATCGAGGAACTTTTAAGGTTTTCCTTATTGAGTAATGTTTTCAAAAAATATAACTGTTTTGAACTTCCAAACTTTACTGAGCAGAGCAGTTTTGCTTTGATGTTAATGCTACATTTTATAACATTCAGTATTTTTATACTTTTGGGTTGATGCAATATGAAAGACATATCAGCATAAAAGACCCTGTAGCATACCCTGAGGTTGTTGGAGTGGTAAGAAGGTGCTCTTCAGGTCCTGAGGTCTGTACATAGCACCACTGTCATTGCCTGGATATCTTCATTTACCCTGGCAGAAAACAACTCTTGTGTGAAAAAGTAATTCTGAAAACATTCTCAGACATGTGACAGATTGGAAAAAAAACAAAAAGTAAAAGCTCAAGGTCTGTTTCAGGCAATGGAGCAGTGGGAGAATGTTCATATTTGCAATTTGCTCTTACCTGTTCCTAGAATTGCACAGGCACTTATGGCAGACTTCCCGAAAGAAGTCTGTGATGAATGTGTAGATCCCAGTCAGCATTTGGATCTGTTATTTCATGAGGTTGATCAGGAGAAAATTTTCAGATTCATTTATGATAAATTCAGTATGATAGCTTTTTGCTGTGAAAATCAGTGTAAGCAGGTCATACACTTAGACACAGCACCCTGTCTTTATTTTGATTGGTACTTCTGAAAATTAAGTCTCCTATTTCACAGTCTTCCTTTTAATTCTACATCAGCATGGGTTTGAATTCGGGAAGTGGTAAACCTAACAGAAAATATTTTTTATACTGAAGTATTACCTGAAGTAAATTTATATTTGCTTAAAATACCTTTTGCAAATATTTGTGATAGAGATTTTTAGCTGTAAAATACAGAAAATATTTTTTAAAAATATCATCGCTTCATGCAAATTGTATGATATTTTCCGTATATCAAAAGCTTTGATTTTGTTTCTGTGAATGAGGTGTTCTCATACACATTTTTCAAGAAAAAAACCCACAATTAAACACAAAAGCATTTTGTTTTGCTGGATTTTGAAATGGGAGGTTTTTTGCTCCTCTCTCGATGTGCTGCCTTAGCTCAGGCATCCAGTTTTTGGCAAATTTTTTCCCATGTTAAAAGCATGGAACTTAAGAAGATCAAATTTGCTTGGTTTGTTAGATTTCAGTCTCTAAGATTGGAAAATAAACTTGAGAACTGACTGGTAACTTGCAAATGCCTGAGTTTCTGAAACCCTGACAAGGTATTTCATTGGTTGCAAGAGGAAGGAAAGATGAGTTTAAGCAGCTGTACTGCCTGACGTGCTGTTACTTGACAGGAGTCAGATGAAATTTGTGATGTGATGCCTGCCACTCAAAGGAGTGAGAGGTGGCATTGGGAGGGCTCAAGGGCCAATGGGGCTGGACTAAGAAAAGCAGAAGTCAAGAGCATGGGGCAGTTGAAAGGTTATCCAGGCAAGGCAGGCAGTGAAGAGGTCTGCAGTGTAACAGCTGAGGAAAGGTGGATTATGGCATAATGCCCTGCAGTGTGTGGATTTTAATCCTAGTGTTAGTTATTCTTGCTGTACACTGAGGATAGTGTCCTGTTAGCCCGATGAAAGGTATTGATATTTGTTTGGGGCACTTAAAGGACTTCCATGTGAAAAGTTCTGCTCTCATTTTTTGGGTACTACATTAAATTGCAAAGTTCTAGATTGGAAGGGATCTCTGGAGGTCTCTTAGTGTAGTCCTCTGATCAGAGCAGGGCTGACTTGGGAGATGGGTTGTGCTATGCCTTGAGCACTTCCCAGAATGGAAATTCTACAACACTGGACAGCCTTTTCCAGGGCTTGACTTGTCTCACTAGACACATTTTTTCCCTTTTCCCCTTGTGCCTTGTAGGACTTTCCCCTGCTGCAAAATGTGCCTCTTGTCCTTTGACTGCACACAACCAAGAAGAGCCTGGCTCCATCTCCTAACCCCCACTTGGCAGCTGAAAACAGCAATTGTATTTCCCTCTCCTCCAAGCCAAATAAACCCAGCTCTCCCAGCTATTCCTTGTGCACCCTCTCACCCTCCAGCCATCCTTCTGCTTGACCTGCTCTGCTGTGTCTTGTCCTGAGGCCCAAAACTGGACACACTACTCCAGATGTGATCTCCTAGGTGCTCAATAGAGGCAAGTGATTGGTTTTCTTGTCCTGCTGGCCGTGCTTCTGCCAGCACAGCCTGGTAATTGTTAGCTGTTGTCACTGCAGGGGTGCCCTGCTGGCTTCAGCTTACTGTCCACCAGGACCCTTTGGTCCTTCTCTCCAAAGCTGTCCTTTGGTCATTCAGTAAAGAGCACTGTCCCAAACGTAGGAATTTGCATTTTACAAGTGTAGCAGCCAGAATCTGTTTTCTGGGGACCATTAGAAAACCAAAGTATGTTATTTTTTGTTTTGGGTTTTTCTTTTAGGTTGATGATGACAAAAAACATTTCATCTGCAAGTACAAATCTGGAAGTTGCAGATAAATGTGCAGAAGATAAGGCATCCACTAGAAACATGGTTTTCTTAATATAATCAGTTAGACCCTTTATTTTTTCCTTCAAGTGAAAAAACAGACTGACATTTAGATCTTAAACTATTCTGGCAATAGGGAGGCACAGATTATTTTTTTGCTATGCACTGAGTAGCTGAATGTCCTGAGAAATATTTTCACAATTACATTTGTGCCTAGTACAAACCATATCACTTAAAGAGGAATATTAATGCATCTATGGAAGACAAAGCAAGTTATGAGTGATTTAAAGAAGCATCAAATCAGGGACTAAAACCAGATGAGATACACTGGCACAAAAGAGCTAAGCTACAAGATTGGGGCTACAAAAGTTGTTCTGACACAACTAAGGAAAATCAATGCAGCAGCAGAAGTAATGATAATATGCAAATTAAATGTTTTGGGGGCTCTTTGAACACTGGTTTATTTAATAGGTCTAGGGTAAGCTTCAGACAAAGACAAGATCCTTTACAGCCTGCAGAGGGGAAGATGGGTCTTGATGGCAGAAATTGGATGGATGTAGACAGTATAGCATAAGTAAATAGATACTAAATATATGTAAGTGATCTTCATCAGTTAATCTAATCACACAGATAAGACTGGTATCAAAACAGGTATCTGAATTGGGTTGCTTATTCTGGTCCCTAAGGCATCATCTGTCTGCTTCAGTTAAAAACCACACTCCTTGGAAAGTATGGATTGCTGCTCTGCTTGTGGCCCTGCCTGATGCTGAGCACAGCAGACTGGCTCTGAGCTGAAATACCAAAATAGGTGCTGAGCTTACCTTGCTCTGGGATCAAGTAGAGGGTGAAGGAGGCTAACTCCCAGCTGTAGAAATTAAGAATTATCACTTGTGTAGTTTTATTCTTGCTTTGTATGAAAAGAAACAAGTGACAAGATTTAAATGTGTATTTGTTGTTTATACATCATGCCTTGACATTCAGAAACAGAAGATGGCTGTATACCACAGCCAAGTCAATAGTTTAACTTTTTGGGGGTTGTGGTGTGTGTTGAAGGTAATTTTTTGCACAGTATGGAGTCTTTGTTTTAAGATTGTCTTCCTAGAGAAACAGGAATAACTTCAACCAGTAGTACTTGGCTTGGTTTGATGTTTGCATTTTGAGAGACAAATACAAAAAAAAACGAGAGCACAGTAAAATTACAAAATGAGAACTGTGTTGGAGAACTAATGAGTTTAAAATTAGTTTGCAGTTTAAATATTATAAATTAAATTCATATCTTGTGGAATATTAACATAAAACAACCAACCAAAAATGTCCATAAACTTAAGTTCTGTTTCCTTCGTGAGGGATTTTCAATAAAAACATTCCTGAGGATTGGATGGAAACATCTAGCCTTACATTTACTGTTGCAAATTCCATTTCAGGCAATGGTAGTGGTAATTGAAAATTATGTAATTGTTCCTTTCTGGCACAAGTGACTGGAGCAAACAATCTATATATTGTTTGTTCTGGACAAGCTGTTAAGATGTATAACTTTAGGATAATTGGCAAAATCTGAGATCTCTGACGGACAACAAATGAAGGAACTTGAAGTTTTTCCACCAGGGCTGACACATGGTGAGCCTTTCTATTTGAAGAAGCTTTTATTTGAGTGGTGGGGTTTTTTCAGTCTAATTTTCAGATCATTTAAAACTGTTATTTTTTTGTACCTTCTGGGAAAAAATTGAAGCCATTGAAGTAAATTCACTTAAATTTCATTTTGTTTCTGTATAATTTTTGTAAGTTTCTTTTCTCTGTGAGAGGCATTTTGTCAAACATACAGATGTAATTCAGTGACCACATAAAGCCTAATTTGAGGCTTGTACACATGAGCATATAGGAACATGTTTTTTTCTTTTGAATCTAGGTGTCAGGAGCTCCTGGCACTACTGTTACATTATGGGTTTTAATCAGGCTGTTTGGGAACTGCAGTAAGATCCCATGGTAATAATCTGTATGCTGCTGGATTGTGGCTGCTGTGTGTTCTCAGCACAGTGAGGTCCTGATGCAGCCCTGGCCTTGTGAGGTGCTCACATAAATCCCTGCACCCTTCTGAAAAATGTGTTGGGCTTTCAGTAAAACTTCTGAAAAGTTTTATGTTCCTGCTATGATAACAATCGCATTTAGAATTGTTCTCTCCTCTGACGTGAATTTTTTTCAACATTTAAGGAATATTGCATTAGCCTCTTCCCTCCTCTCTGCCTCTTCAAATGGAGAGTGAAAAGCACTTCCAGAACTTCATGGAAGAATGGCTGATTCAGTTAGTAAATGCATGATGTTTCCAGATAACTCTTCCTGGGAAGTTCCCTTTTGAGTAAATAAGAGTTAAAATTCAAAGCAGTGATCAAAAAAAACTTGATCATATTAAAGTGTGGGTTTTGTTTTTTATGCCCCCCATGGCATACTTGCTAATCCAAAGCATTTGTATTACTACACCACCTGTATTGTGACTTGGCTATATTTGCTTGGGACTAGGGTTGTTGCTGAGGAATCCTGTAAATTAATAAACCTCAGTCCTATAACAAAACTTGTTGACATTTATGTGCTATGAGTGTCGACTAAATCACAGATTTTTTCAGAATTAGCTTTATTAAAAAAGAAAAGGAAACAAATCAGTTATTTTTCCTGTTGCTGTTACCTTCTTAAGGGTAATGTAAAATCATTTGACTTTGTTGCATTTTTTAAAAGGTTTGTTAGTGCAAACTTTTTTATTTGAATTTTTGATGTGCAGGGAATATTGTTTAGACTCTTCTTGTTACCTTTTTCTGCTATGCTTATAATTATCAGAATAACTGAAGAATGTGGGGTGTGGAAAATAAGGTTATTCTTAGTGGTTATTTCCCAATTCCAAGACATGCTTAAGTCCCACCAGTTTCTATTTGGCTTTCACTAGTAGCTTTAGGTGTTGGTACCAATTCTCAAAGCAATTAAGTTTGTCAACTTTAACCCCCAACTTTCGCCCTCTTGCTGTGGTTCATTTTCTCTTGGGCTATGCAGATCAGACATGCTGTGACATAACAGAGGAGTGCTGAGGACAGTATGTTCTGCTCTGGGATGGTGGGGAGAAGCCAGAACTTCAGACTTTGGCTGTCACCAGGAAATAGTGCTAAGTCTTCCTTGCAAACTGTTCACTTCGCGGAATGCTTGAAATTGGAATGCGACTTTTTAATTCTAAACCCTCCACCTCCAGCTTCCTAAAGAGAAATCATCTCCCATGCAATTCTGCAAGTGGGGGAAGCACCAGGCCCTTCGTGCAAAACGCTGGAAACTTTGTAGCTGATATTAAAGATGTTTTAAAGCTGTAGTATGAAAACACTAAAAATAAAACCGAGTCTGACAAGAACTGGTACTACTCACTGTTGCTGTTTGGGGATATTGTGTATGTGAGGTATTTTTCCATCTACAAAAAAGGCTGCACCTAGGCTGCCTTTGCCCCTCCTCTGGTGCGGAGTAAAAGGCAGGAAGACCCTGAACTACCTCCTTCGCGTCCGCACACGAGTTTTAGGGTGGGGAGGGCAGCGGCAGCTCTCGGTGTGCCCTCATGGGAACGCTGCTCCGGGTGTGCCCACAGGGGAACGCT